GATCAACATCTCCTGTTGATACAATGTTATGAATGTGAATATAATTTCACACAGTCGAAACAGATTCACTTTGATACTGTATGTTTCTAACATGATTCTGTGTGAGCAGGTTCGAGGGGCTCTGCCTGCTCTCCATGCTGGTTAAAGACAGTTCCAGCGATCTATTCCAGCAGCACTGCCTGTCGTGGCTGCGCTCCCTGCAGCAGGTCATACAGGTAAAGTCACGTGTCGGCTGTTATCATTACAATATTGCTATTTTTCTCCATTTTATCTTAAGGTCTAAAAATTAAAGGTTACCGTTTCATTTTTAAAATTAAAAATACTTTCTGTGTTTTTGTTCTTCACTAGTCTCAGGCTCCAGTTGAGACTGTGCAGCTAGCAGTGAACATTCTGAAGGACTTGCTGCAATACTCGTCTCAGCTAGCAGAGCTGGCCAGAGAGGTTGGCCTCAACTCCATCCTGGGCATCCTCACATCCCTGCTGGGTCTCAAGTCAGAGGTGAGGTGACAAGGCGGTGAGTGGAAGGGCCCACCAGGAGGGCTCCGCAGCCCCTCTGGTGGAGTGTGTCCAGGTACTTTGTTAGTGCCACAGAATGTGAGTGTTAGCCCTGCCACAGACTGGCGACCCTGCCTCTGACACCGCCCCACAACCCTGAAGAGGATGGGTGAATTGAAAGTTGTGTTTAGTTACAATGTAACACTTTATGTATAATTGCATCTGTTATTATTCAGTTAGCTTCAGCTCAGATATCGATCTTCTAACTAGCCTTAAAACGGTTTATGTTCCTGTTTGATGTTAGTGTGAGCTGGCAGCCATGGAGGGAATGACGGCCTGTATGACCTACTATCCGAGAGCGTGTGGATCCTTGAGGGTGAGACACTCCTTCCTGAGACTGTTTGGACTGTTATCGTGGTGCTATTAAATATCTCTTCTTCTTCTTCTTCTTCCTAACAACAGTAATAATAATATCTATTATCTATTATTTATTAGTCATTGCTGTCGCACACTTCTGACAGATTAAGATAAGATAAAACTTTATTAATCCCTCGGGTGGGTTCCTCTGGGAAATTCGGTCATTGTCAGCAAAATAAATAAAAACATTCAATTTATACTTGGAATTTTTTACACCAGTATATAGTTTAATGTTGCTACAGTATTCCTTTAGCAGTATTCTGTGCTGTACTCTGTATTCTGCTTGCTGCCTCTGTTTAGAACCCAGCTGTGTCAAACCTGCACCTGTTTGTTGTTGTTTTTAAGGACAAGCTGGCAGCGTACTTCCTTTCCAAGATGGACAGCACAGACAGGAAAACACAAGAGGTTTGACAAAACAAGCACCAAGTCTTTTTTTAAAGATTATTATCATTATTTGAAGATTTGTTTGAACGTTTGTTTTGCTGTTACTCTGTCAGATGGCCTGTCAGTGCTACGGTCGTCTGCCCTGCCTGGGCGGCGTGCTGGACAGAGGGGTCGGGGCTGGCAGAGCTGAGGGCTGGACCAATCAGATTCACTGCCTACTGGCCTCTGCCAATGGCCTGCTGGCTCAGCTCTACCAAGGTTCAGAAACAGGTGTGTTGTTTTCTTTGTGAGCAGTGGTGACATTTGGCTTCTGTGTGTGTTTGTCTCCATGTCAGTTAACAAACAATGACAACAAGAAATTCTTCAAATCTGTCTCTTTCCATCCAACTAATATGAAACATTGTGTTAATTACAATGAATCGCTATTTAAAACTGTAAAAATAAAAGCTTTTTCATAAGCCAGTAAAGTGTATGTGGGCCAGTGGAACTCTGGACCCTGAATTATGATTAATATTAATTATAACATGTTTTTTAATCGCCATAGAAACGGCATCAAAGCACAGACACACTCAGTCATTTCATGTAGAAACACAATCCGATGGTTCAGTTTTGGTTTTGTGACGGATTCAAACATTGAGCAGTTTATTCTGAAAGAACTTTGTTGTTTCTCTTTGAATTCTTTATCATTTCTTATTAATAAGACAAAAGTATTTCTTATTCGAGCTGCAGACCTACATGTGGTATTAAAGCCTAAAACTAAAACGTAACAAAAACAGAAGTTTTGATTGAATCTTGGGTTAAAGTCCTGTTTTCGTCGTCCACAGTCGTTGTCGTGTCGACGCACCTTGATTAACTCGATAATGTCAAAGCAAACTTCTCCTGCTGGCCACACATTTTGTTTAAAATGGTGCAGTTATGTTCTTTTGTCTTACAGCTGTGGCCCCCAAACACTGTGTATCACTCCTCCACACTCCTCACTTTTCTAGATAAAATGCATTTCTACCAAGTAAATCAGTCAGTGAACCGCGCAGTGAACAGCTGTCAGTGTTGGAGGTGCTGACGTGATGGTGTGACTGTATCCGTTTACTGTTACCGAGGTTACTCACACTCGACTGCTTCTTGCGGTCACAGATGGAGCGATGCAGTATCAAGGTCCCGGGATGGAGCTGGCCTTTCCTCACCTGGACCCAACAGATCCCCTGCTGCTCCTGCAGCTCCAGCACAGATACACTGCTGTGTGCCTCGCACTCAAACACACACTTAGGTACAACACATGCAGACAAGCACACACACCTTTCCCACTCAGAGGTTTCATGTGGAATGACTCAACTTGGATTTGACCCTCCTGCACAACCTTTAATCTGTGCTGCCACTGTCGTGTATCTGTGACCCTATTAAACCAATCTGTGGTCAGGCTGTCTGCATGAACATGCTGCAGCTGTGGGTGGGGCATTTTCTGTATCGATAGTGATGCACAGATGCTTTGCATTACTAAGAAGCAAAGCAATCTTTAGACTTTACTACTGCGACGTGCTCAGTTTAGGAGTGAAGTCGTGTCAGAGCTCTGACATCAGACTTCTGAACTAACTGGAATGAGCATTATTGACCAAGCTGGTATTAGGATAACTGGGATACAGAAAACATCTGGAAAACACCAAATTGAATCAGTTGTACCTCTTATTTCTTTACCTCAGCTTTTTAGCATAGTTGTAACATTTACACAAATACACTCAAAGGCCCCTTTGTTTAATAAAAACCTGTACGAGCAGTAAAGGCTTTCATTGTTTCTGGTACTCGTTGCATTCCTTTGTCGTTTCCTTCCATCAGAGTAGATCCCGCCTCAGCTGTGCGCTTGCCCGTCAGGCCAATGCTCAACTTGGTGTGCCGAGCCCTTGCTGTCAGCTCCAAGAGCATAGTGAGCACACACACACAATAACACTTATTGAACAGAGACCGTGTCAAAAGCAGTACTGATCTTAATGCACGTTTGACTTTGTGTGTCAGAATTTAACAGGAGATGGAAGTGTGAGGCTGCTGGTCCTCCCCATCATACACAGCATCACCCTGGAAGTCCTGTCAAGTGTGATCACTGTGTGAGTACTCGCACACACGCAGGAGGCCACATTTTGATTTCCTGCAAGCCTGACTCTTGGATTTGTGCTGTGTTACAGAGTACGGGTCGGCATGGTTCAGTACGCTGCAGTAATACAGAGGCTGTTTTCTCAAACACTCTCTGCTTGGACCCCCCTACCTGAGACCAGTGTGGGACAGCAGAGGGCCTACAGGTGACTCACAGCCTCGCACAGCTGCTGTTTGGAGTATTGACTGAAGTTCAGCCTGCAGTTGGAAACCTCGTACACACCTAATATCAGCTAGTGCATCATATTTCATTACGTGTGTGCAGCGTGTGTGTAGCTACAACCTACAGTTGCCCCTGAGAGCCTGTGGAGCAGAGTCAGTGGTTGCCAAGACAACCACCAAGTACTGTAACAACTGGAAGTAACAAAATCTTTACAAAGGTTTCCTCAGAGAGGCTGATGTAAGATCACCGTTCTCATCGCTGCCCTGAAGCGTCCTTAGCACGCTGTGTGTGCTCGCAGACGTCTAAAGGAGTGAATGATGACCATTTAGAGGTTTTTAGTCCCGAGAAAAGAAAGAAAGTCTTAACTGATCTGTTGCAACACAAAGAAGATGAAATGAAAACACCGTGTGGGGATCGAGGAGCTTATTTTAGTAACATTATGGGAAACTGGGGACAGTCTGAGCTGCTGCACTGGGGAAGATTTAATAATGTGTCATCAAGTATATTCATCTCTTGTCTCTCCTCCTTCCCACAGTGCAGTGCGGGTGTCAGTGTACAGAACCTTGGAGCTGTGGGTCCAGGTTGCCGGAGCGTCTTCTAGCATCCTTCAGGGAAGCCCGGGGCACTCGGAGCTCCTCTTTAACCACCTACTCGGGGACATCACACCAGGAGCAGAGTCTGTCAAGGTAGGGGAAAGATGCATTTGGACTAGTCGTCGTCACTAGTCTGTATCAATGCACTGCCACCAGATGGCGCATCAGTGTTGAGAAACGCCATAAATCTGATCATCTAGGCCTCATAGTTTGTTAACACTGTTAGAAAAACATCGCAGAGAGGCTTCGCCTTTACTGATAAGGTGAGGAGTTGAGTCATTCAGGAGGGGCTCAGAGTAGAGCCGCTACTCCTCCACGTCTAAAGGAGACTGCTAATGTCGACAGATCTATCAGCCTTGGAAATGTTCGGCATTTCAACAGATGAGCTGGAGGAGGTGATAAAAGGGAGGCTGCTGCCCCAAAGCCTGACTCCAGATAAGCAGAAGAAAAACGCCGGATGATTCACTGTTTTGCTGTTTTAGTTTGAAGTCGTGGTCATGAAGTTTCAAACAGAGAACATAAGAATGTAATTGTTTAAAATGCTTTGCTATTAGTTTTGGAGGTTTTCCACTAAAGGGTTATCAAATCTAACTTGATATCTGAGACTCGTCCATTTTTTCCCACGGTTAGTCGACTAAGAGATTAGTCATGAGCACTAAATCTAAAAAATTTACTTTAAGCTCTGACTTTATGAAACTAAAGGGAACCAGTGGTTTGTTGGGATGTGCTGAGCTTTCTTCTGTTCCTGCTCCTGTGCGTGGGGTGTCCTGTTTCCAGCTCCGGGCAGGACTATCGGCTGATGTTGTTCCTGGAGGAAAGCCCGGCCCTCGTAGGACGAAGCATTTGGTGATGGCAGATACAGTCGGGCCATCGCTGCAGAGGAAAGGAGACCATCTAGCCAATCAAGATACCTGCCTTGCAGCTGTCAGGGGTGAGATGCAAACCAAGTTTAATGTTATTGGGAGTTTACTGGTATACTACGTATGATATTCTGATACCAGACTGACCTTTGTCATCCTTGTAGCACTGAGACAGATTATACAGACCAGTGGGACGCTACTGAAGGACAACATTCACAAGGTAAATGTGATTTAAAGTAACATAAGCGCTACAAAAGAGTGCCCAGCAGAGGGAGACACTTTCTACAGGCGTCTCCAACCATCCACAGATCAGCCTCTGCTGCAGCGAGTGGCACCGAGCCGCCCGCTTTGGAAGAAGATCCGTGTTTAAGCAGACGTGATGTTTGCAGTTCTTTAAGCAACGATTTCCTCCACCCACAGTGCATTTCTAATGATCCACATGAAATATCCCAACGTGTTCTAATATGTTCTTGTAGCCAGAAAAGAAATTATGTAACTTTATACACAAATTATAGTGATGCATGTTTACTTTTTTAAATAGAGAACGCCCATATCTGTGAAATTGTTGCTCAAAGTGCTGCCGAACATCATCTGTTTAAACCTTGTTCTTCTTTTAAAACTGAATTTTTCAGTGTACAGTTTAATGTGTGTTATTGTTTTAAACTAATTATTAACATTATGCATGATCATTTTACTTGACTAGCAGTTTGTTTTAAAAGATTAACATGGTTATTAATGTGTTATTAAATAGAAACAGGCCGTTTTCCTGCTTATTACACAGAACCTAGCGCAGGTAATAGAGTAGTAATAACATAGGAATTAGCACATTATTGCATTCTTGTTACCCTGCAGTTCCCACATCATTAGCTTCAGTTTGTGGACCATTATTATCCAATTGCATCAGTTTCAGTGTAATATTACTCGGCTGTAACTGTAAGTGGTGTGGTTAGCGTCGACGTGTAGTTACATGTCTCAGCAGGTCCACGTCAGGTTGTGGCGTAGGGTTAAAATGGGATACTGATTACAAGTTATGATGTAGTAAGACACATTTCCCATCTTGTGATGATCTGCAGCTGTAAAGTAAAATGCTTTTGTTTGTTTTTTCCATCATTTAGCATTTTTGGTGTATTGCAGGAGAGACTCTTCATTTTATTGTTTTTAATAACGAACGATTACACTGTTGTGTCCTGTCGATTCCTTCAAGCGGCTCCATGAGGTGGTTCTACCACTGTGTGTGCGCCTGCAGCAGCAGCAGTCTTGCAGCAGCAATGCATGTGAATCTGCAGGGAGCGCGAGTGGGCAGTACAGCAGTGCTCTGACTCGACGAGAACTGTACAGGTACGATCTTCATGTTAGCGATGAGCCACACATTAGTGTTTCAGTAGTGTTACGGTGCTCCTCCTGCTTTTTGTTCAGGTTGAGTTTAAATGTTCCACTGTTGACTGAAGGAATGTCCACACAGTGCTTTATTCAGACTGGACCCAGTCTGACACCACCCTAGCACCAGCACCACTGTGGGCCCCGAACTGGTCTATGTTCTGTAGATGCAAAAGTTCACTTTAGCTTCGTGTTGGACTGAAGGAGCTGTTTCACTTGTATGAATTTGAAGGTTATTGCTGGCCCTGGTCCTGGTCCCCTCACCCTGTTGGCCCCCACCTCTGACCTGTGCTGTGTCAATCCTCAGTAACGGGCGCACCGACAGGAATGTTAAGGTAAGCCCTAAGGACCTGAAGCGCTGCAAAAAGGTTTTTAAAATGTAGCAACGTGTAGTGAGTGGAAGGATCAACATTTGTCTTGCTGTGAAGTTGAAATAAAATAATTATGGAGACAATGATGTACAATCTGCCTCAAGTCTTCTGTTAAAGCTCAGATTGACTTAACAGTTTCAGACTTGGCAAAAACATGAAGTGTTTGTCTGCTCACTGTTTCCAGCTTTTAATCAAACCCATCGTCCACTTTCTCAGGTGTCTTCGTTCTGCGCGGAGGCCTTGACCATCTGTAACTTGATCCTTCATCCCCGCTTTCCCTCCATCGCCCTTCCTTTGCCACCTCTCACCATGAAACCTTCCTCCACCACTCCGGTCCTCCCCTCTTCCCAGGGACCTGCCCCTGGATTAACCTTGCCAACCCTGCTTGGAGGTCCTGCCCCTGGCCCTCCTTTTCCCGCCCGTCACTCTGTCAACCTGGGCCCTGCTTCCCTTCTGAGCTCTTTTGAGAACCATCTGTCTCTGGTTCCGGGACTTCCAGGCCAGGGTCCGACTGCAGGAGACATGATTCTGTCCCCACATTCGCACCACCAGCCTGATCCTGCAGGCCTGGGCCCTCCGGAGGGACAGAGACCCGTGTTTGTGCGTTTTGACAAAGAGGAAGCCGAAGACGTCGAGATCTCTCTGGCAAGTGACTCGGACGACAGCGTGGTCATTGTTCCTCCGGGTATGCTTAACATGGAGACTCAGCAGGACGACGCAGCAGCAAACTCACAGAGCATGTCCTCCTCTGCACCGGGTGGCACTGGTGTGACACTCGCAGGTGCAGAATCTGTCACCATGGTCCCAACTACGGCAGCCGCAGCCACAATAGACGGGGTCTCTCTGCCCAATGCCCTGGCTGCCTCTTCCCCCCTCCTCACTGCTTCCACCACCTCCATCAACTCCTTTCCTCCTTCCAGTGCCTCGGTGGTCTCCCTGGTTCCACCTTTGAACTCCAGCACCTTTACAGCTCCACCTGTTGGTCTGGGGGAGTCATTGCCTGGCAGACCGCAGCTCCAGCAGATGCTTATGCAGCCCTCGACGGCAAGCCAGGCTGGTCCCATGGGGTTACCGCTCCAGATGCACCTGCAGAATCAATTAAGTCAGCAGGGTCGGCACCTCCACCAGCAACCAGCTGCTGCTGCCAGCAGCGAAGATTCTGCTGTCATCAATATTAACAGTACTGATGATGAAGAGGAAGATGATGAGGACATAGATGAAGATGAAGAGCTGGAGGAGGATGAGGAGGAGGAGGGGATAGATGAGGAGGACGAAGAGGAGGATGTAAGTGAGTTAGCTGATGAGTTTTTTGATGGGGAGGAATATGAGGAGCTGGATGAAGAAGACGGTGAAGATTTGGAGGAGGAGGAAGAGGAGGAAGAAGAGGAAGAGGATGGCGACATACCGCCTCTGGAGGGAGTCGAAGACAAAGACGGAGGGTCGGGGATTCAGGAGGGGAAGCTGGATGAGGGACGGATTTCTGCATTTAATGTGGAGGAACGCACAGAAGGAGGGATAGAGGAGATCCAAACTAACAGGGCGCTGTTCGGAGAGGACACGATGAAGGTGCAGGAGGTGGAGAGCATCGGAGTCCTCGAAGCGGCTCGGGAGGGCGAAGTAGAAGAGGAGGACAACGAAAGGATGGATGACCCCACCATGCCGCAGATCCTGTGTGTCACCGGAGGAGCGTTGGAGGAGCGAGAGGAGGCCGAGGAGGAGAGGGAGCAAGCCGGAGCAGAGCTGCAGAAAGAGGAGTGTTCGTGGGAGCAGGGAGCCAAGGAGGACGAGCCGCAAGCAGCGGAGTCCGAACAACCGGCCAGTCAACAGGTAGATCCTGCAGCTTTGTGAATCATACTGTTGAATGACAGCGTTACACAGCTCAGCGTGCTGAATGCATTAGACAATGTAATGAGGCTTTGCAGTACAAGTAACTCAGAGTGTAAGTGGGCCTTTCACGGGACCAGCAGATTTAAGGAAAGAGCGGAAATGGAGACAGGAAATGATGTCATGAAGAGCAACAGCAGGTGGTGCAGCATGAAGAATAAAAAGGTTTATCAGTGTAATCAAGGCCACTGATATCCATGACACGCTTCATGGAAACAAAGTTGTTGCTTTCAGCAGTGTCCTGTTGAGAAAGTAGGTCAGAGTAGAAAGACAGACGCCCTCTACTGGTAAGATCAAACTTTCCCTTCATAAAGTAAACAGCTGGGGCTGGATCAGGTGACCCTGATTATGCTGCAGTGGCCTTATATGCAAAATATACATGAATTTCTCACAAAAAGCCTGATTTTCTAATGTGATCGTCACAGTCTGAGCTCCAGATTATCTCAGCAGCTCAGTCATATATTTGTACAAATGCACATGAAGTATTACTACACAGTCTCTGTTAGAAATGTGTTTTTCTCCTATATATGATAAATAAAGAGAGTATTACAAGGAAACTGAAGCTTTCTGTCTGTATCAGCAGGAATCAGCAGCTGAGCCTGCAGAGGACGCCAGCGTGAGCGATAACCAGCTGCCCAGCTGTGAGGACGAACCGCTCGAAGCTGTTCAAGCAGGAGACTCGACAGCAGTGGCAGACTCTGAAAACGCAACAGAACCAAATGTGACAGAGAAACAGGAAGAAGACACTGAGAAGAGCTCTGAAAAGGAAGCAGAGCAGCCGGAGACGGGAGCAGGGGGAGGGCAGGAGAGTAATGGAGAGGAGGGAAAAGGAGTGAAGAGGAAGAGGGAGGAAGGACATGGAAAAGAAGAGGTGGGGCAAAGCCCAGAGAAGAAAAAGGTATTGCTTTTAATCCCTCGTTAAGATGCAGATGGTAGCTGCTGTTTGTCCACTGATTGAAAGCTTCTTCGGTCAGGGTGATGACCTGACTGTATGAACTTGTGCTTTACACTGTGTGACGTCGCTCTCTTTCAGATGGACGATGAAGCCATGGCGTCAATGTTGGCTGATTTTGTGGCGTGTCCACCTGATGATGAAGACGGTGCTTCTGGATCAAAAGCCTCATAAATATTTGCCAACCTGAAATGAAATTAACACTGATCTCTGGCTTCTGTGAGCAGAATCTGGCAAAACATGTATCGTTAGTCACATTCCCAAGGTTTAGTTACCTCAAACATCATGCTTTACATCGCGTGTCACAGCAGTTTAATATGGCGTTCAGTCTTTTAACCATCGGGACCATTTCTGGCTGGTCCGACTTTCATACCCGGGTTATAATTGGCTGTCAGGTGTAAGAGAACTCTTTTTCTACGGTGGACCCAGTGTCCTCCCAGCAAGGAGGCAAAGCTCCGTGAAATGTGTTAACCTGATGACTTTGTTGTTCTTTACAGCACAAGTATCTTCCAGCTAGTTTGCAGTTTTACTTTTGTTTGTATGCATCTTTTTTGCTCTCATGGTTTGGCATCAACATCATGCTTTGTTAAAAAAATAAAATGTACTTCCATTACATGTTTTTCTTTTGTTTGGGTTCTTTTTGGGGGTTTTGTCTGACGTCTGCTTGCATTAATCATTGTTATGGGACTGATTTGCTGTACATGTTAGAGGTGCTGCTCCTCCACGTTGAAAGGATTTGGGGTGAAGGAGAGGGAGGTGTGGGCATCTCTGATAGCCGCTTTGTTAGCCTTGGAGGTGCGCAAGGCTAACGGATCCCCGTCTGACCCACCTGCTGTCATTTTAAGAACTGGCTGAGCCAATAAACTGCATTCAGCAACCCGCAGGGCTCCAGCACATGCAGCAGGTTGATCTACAGCAGCGGTCCCCGGGCCAGAGCCGTTTGGTCCCGGGCCGCCAGAGTTCAGGCTCGGATGTGAAATTTATGGTTTTCAGTGTTTTTATCGTTAACTCGGTTTCCCGGGGTCTTTTCCCGCGTTATAGTTTGGCGTCTTATTTTGAAAGAACTATTTACGCGTTGCCATGGCGACCAGAGAGCATTAGGATGCTAGTCTGTTTGCGCATTTCCGGAGGACGCTGCTAATAAAGTTAGCTACACAGTGAATTCGCGTATTTAATACTGTATTTACAAAATACCACAGTTGTTCTCTTGGTCGTATCATTTTATTTTGTTTTATTTATCCGCGACAACTCCGTGGAAATATTCCGTGGCGCAAAAAAGGTTGTAGAGCACTTCAGCAATGAGCAAGCTTTGTAAATGAGGAAGACACGAGGCGCAGCTGCTGCAGGGTGGGAGTGGGCTCGGCCGCAGTGTGAAGATAAAGCTCTCATTGATATTGCTGTCAGAGCTGCCAGTCATACTTCCCACGCTGTCTACATGCATGTTCTCACGCAACTGAAAAACAAATTTCAAACTGAACCTAAGCCAGTGCACAAGAGTGAGTACCCACGGTCACACTCCTTTTTTAATAAAAACTCATGACTTTAAGTAAACAATCTCAGATGTACGTGCCTCAGTGGAAACCTGGTAATATAACACACTACATATGTAGATGGTCCCAAACATAAAGAGCATTACTATAAATGACGTTCACTGTTTCTGGTTCACTGGCTCAGTGCAATCTAGTGAACATTTAAGACACCACACACAACAGTTTGTGTCAAATAAATCAAATGCAGAAAAATGGCAGAAACAAGAATCAAAGGACAGTCGATGTAACATTTTTTTCCTCAAAGATATTTTTATTGAAGCAGCAACAAAAACGGATACACAGAATTGTTAAACAACAGACAAGTACGTTTCACAATGATTGAACTGAAATAACAGAATGCAGATTAATGACACACTCACATACCTTGTAATTGCTTTTATCAGTTTAGCCCCACTTAGCCCCATCCCTCAGTCCAGGTAGAAAAAAACCGTCGTAAATACAACAGGACAAAGCAGATATATAAGATGAAATAACTGAATCCAAGGAATTAGTCGACATTTAAAGGAAAAAATAAAGAACAAAACTAAAGAGGACGTGACAGACGTCCAATAGGAATAAAGAGAAAGCTTGATGTAAATATTAGCCTGTAGAAGGCAAACCAGTAGTGACCCTTGATGACTGCTTAGATATTGTTATTTCAATAATAATTTGTTTCTTTGTTTAATGCAGTTTGATGAAAAGTTCAAATACAGTGTAAAAGTAGTGAGCCTCGCCTCGTTTCTTTCCATTTTCCAAGGAGTCAAACTTTTCTTTTCTTTTTTTAATCTTTTTCCTTTGGCTGCTTTTTCTCTCACTCTTCAGTTTAGACCTTCTACCCGATAATTTCCTGAGGAATCTGGTTTATTTACTTGGCCACATAACATTGACTAAGAATTCATTCAAGCCTCAAAAAGCTCCATACTCCAGGGATGAATCAGTTATTGAAACCGTAGCCTCCTTTGATGCGGGCTCACTTGTGTACAGCTGCAGCAGTGGAGACTGTCAGGAAACTGAACCAGCTCCAGTGATACTTGCACACTGATAGGCCGCTGCCTCAACATGTTTTAAATACAACGAGGGCCATGGACGGAGTGGAAGTAGGGCTCTTGGCTCCTTCATAGTGAGAGCACTAAGTCACAGGCACAGATATGTGGATAACACCTGGATCAAAATCAACATGCAAGACGTAAAAGTTCACATCAACTTTGTTCTTCTGCTGTTTTAAAAAAAAGTAACAAAGTCGAAAAACTCCAGTTTTCACTGATTTCTTTGTCTTTTTTCATTTTCAGTATGTTTCTTATTCTTATTATTCCAACACATCTGCCTTCAACCTTTAGGAAGCACACAGTGTCTGATGTTTTATTTTAATTTCACTAAAACATTCTAATAAATAATTTCTAAAAATTGCTGTAACTGAAAGTGTGAAAGACTTCAGGGCTGGGCTGATGCTTCAAGATCCTAACGACGTCCCTGATGTGTGATCAGGCTGCTGCTGTTACCTCAGTGAACTGTTGTCTTCTTTGGAAATCACAAACTGACACAACTGCAACTTCACAATGCTGAACTTAGCAAAGTGTGAGGAAAAACCCCAGAACAAGACAGACGGATGTTTTCCTCGCAGCTGTTTGGAGATGATTAAAATATTCTGCAGCAGCTCCTTTTTCAGCGTCTGCCAACAGCTTCAAATATTTAGCAGCATGATATCAACTATTTAGATTGTCTGCAGTAGATACTACACCCTCAATACCCAAGAATCACCTTCAGCAACTGGAAACAGCTGTGAAAGCTTTGTCGACAGCTTACACTGTTACTAAAACTGGAAGATTTAATGGAAAGTTACCATATTGTGTACATTTCAGTAACTGTGTACAAGTGGTGAAAAAAATAGTTATCAGTTACTTTGATTGCTTCATTGCACATTTTGCTGTCAGTGTTTGTGTCCAGTTGTTCCCTGAAGGGTCAGTGCACATCAGGATCTTTTTGATCGGAGATTATGTATCGGAATTTCAGGAGCAGGATCACGCCTCCAAACATGCTCCTTCCGGCTGTCATCTATATTGGTTCCCCCCAGTTCTGCAAACTGCTCGTTGTTGTTTACGTGCCCCACCCTCCCTCCTTGTTCTCAGTTCTTTAACTTCTTCACTCCTATTTAGTACACGGGGATCTGCCAGGCCCAGGAGCCAGTCCCCTTCGAGGCCTTCCCCAAACCACAGCTCAATTCATGTCCAAGCATCACCTTTACCCACAAAAACGCTGTCAAACCTAAAATGAGGACGTGGGCCCATGTGATGGACCAAGCAGTGAAAGAAACTTAGGCACAGGTTAAAGTCCAAAAAAAATTATTATTATTTTTTTTATTTAACCCAAAAAACATAATTGGTTAAATCATGCAAAAAGAAACAAAATCTTGGGCCCATGAAAGAGGTCAAAATAACAGAACTCTACTCAAAGTTGACAACTCAAACAAACTGACCTAACTTAACGAGACAAAGGGGAAACTTAAATAGTGGCTGATCAGCCCACAAAAACAGGAGAAGGGGTAAAACACACAAAACCTAACTAAGCCAACCAAACATAATGAACTCCAATCCCCCCCACCCCACCCCCGGTCCCAAGTTATGGCATGAACCAATTTGTAGTCGTCCTTTAAAGCTCGCTCCGCCCTTTTCCACCTCTTGGCTCCTTAAACAAGGGACTGGAACAGCTGCAACTAAGGTAACTCAGAAAACAAAAAATTAATCATACATAACAGTGTAAACTAAAATGTGCGCACTTATTTTAGAATGCAGTGTTATGTGGATATGTGAATTAACTCTAAACCAAAACCAGTTATTTATTGTCCTGTCAATAAATTCCTATATTTAAAGAAAGACAAATGTGAATGCAATGTTACTTATAAGCCTCTACACTAACATGTTGGGTATTACCACTGTGTGGCTGTAAGTGCAGCCATCACAGCCCAGCTAGTGAAATTACTGAAAGAGAACGCTGATGATGGACTACTACACAGGAAACCGCTAAGATCTCACAAAAAGAAAAAGAAGTACAACTCATCTTCTGTTTGCAACAATAACCACAGAGGTTCCTCAACACTTCTTAGTCAATGTTCTGTGCATATGTAACACAAACTGTGTGTAAGTCTTAACTGCACATCACTGTGTCAAAGTCAGCGTTATTTTCAAAACCCATATGTACAGATTACATTTAACATTGCAGGAATCCCCCGGCAGCCTGCGTCTATTGCAGCATAACTAAGGGAGGATTCAGGGTCACCTGGTCCAGCCCTAACTATATGGTTTAGCAAAAAGGAAAGTTTGAAGCCTAATCTTGAAAGTAGAGATAGTGTCTGTCTCCTGAATCCAAACTGGAAGCTGGTTCCACAGAAGAGGGGCCTGAAAACTGAAGGCTCTGCCTCCCATTCTACTTTTAAATACTCGAGGAACAACAAGTAGGCCTGCAGAGCGAGAGCGAAGTGCTCTAATAGGGTGATATGGTACTACAAGGTCATTAAGATAAGATGGGGCCTGATTATTTAAGACCTTGTATGTGAGGAGCAGGATTTTGAATTCTGGATTTAACAGGAAGCCAATGAAGGGAAACCAAAACAGGAGAAATATGCTCTCTTTCTAGTCCCTGTCAGCACTCTTGCTGCAGCATTTTGGATCAGCTGAAGGCTTTTCAGTGAGTTTTTTGGACATCCTGATAATAATGAATTACAGTCGTCCAGCCTGGAAGTAATAAATGCATGAACTAGAATATTTCTAATTTTAGAGATGTTGCACAAATGGAAGAAAGCAGTCCTAATATTAGTTTAATGTGTGCGTTGAAGGACATATCTTGCAAAAATGACTCCTCACAGCTTTACTGGAGGCCAAGGTAATGCCAGCCAGAGTAAGAATCTGCTTAAATACCATATTTCTATGATTTTTGCTGCTCTGTGTTGGTACAGGGCATTGAAGATGATAACAGTGGGTGGATTATATTCTTAAACTTAGTTACAGCGCTTTCAGAAAGACATCTACTGTGATAAAGTCTACTCTCCACCGCTGTGTAATCAATTATTGTAAATGTAAATGTTATCAGG